AAAAAAAAAAATAAAAAGAAGAATTATGAGAGAAAGGGTGGCGAGGGAGAAATTAAAAGCTGATGTCGTCATTTTATACATCACTTTAAAAATAGATGGAGGAAATCACTAACAGATAGATTCACAACTACAGGAACTCTTGTGTTCACAAAAATGCTATGACATTTGGTTGGTTTTGTTTCCGCCTGTTTATTTAACATTATAAGGAGAGTTAACTAGGAACTTAGAAATGAACTGATTAATATTTGCAATGTTTTAGGGTAAAAGATCAGTTAGCACGGAAAGAGTACAAGATTGATCTAAGGAGAGAGATCACTTAAAACCCGAATTTAAGTTTTCTCCTTAAATAAGGAGTTGCAGAGAAAGACAGTTGGAGTATTTACACCTTGACTTAGTTGGAGCAGCTGTGGAGGTGAGCAGTAGGGCTGAATAAATCTCCAGAATTCAAGATACGGAACTACCAAGATTCACGTATGCAATTTATCATCTATAGTTAGATAAATTAATGTACATGTATATATTATTTAATTTATATTTGTTTATAATATAAATTTATCTTCTATAGTTCATGCTCAGAACAAAAACTGGCATAAAGCCAACAATATATATATATGTGCGTGTAAATCTTCCATATGCAGATGACTATGCAACTTTGACAGTTTCCTGATTACTTCAGTAGTAGCATCTTCATAATCAAGAATGAGTGCAGCCTAGCCTTTATTTCCCAATCTACATAGGTTATTGGGTAAATTTCACTAGTGAAAGGAATTAGAAATTAGGTAAAGTAGGAGTGGGTAAAAAGACAGGTTTGGAAAGGTTGGAATGAATCATTGGAAATATGAAATTCAGAGAAAATTGGCTGGCAGTGTGAAAACAGATGTGCATTTGTAAATACTCCAGTTCTAGTAGTATAAATCAATTGAGTATTTAGTGCAGGTAATGTTAAATGACTTCTCATCAGTATATGTACACCATAGAGCAATTGTTTCTTTGTAAACGAGCATTCAGCCAAATCCTTTTTATTGATGAAAGTTTCAGGTATTAAAGAGAAAGAGTAATTGAGTACCTGTATATTCACAAATTAGTACTGTGAAAATTCAAAATCTTCAGATGTAAATAAATAAAATATATTATTCAACAGGAAATATTCAAGTTATAGAAAAGAAATAAACGAGCCCTTCTTGGTAGCACAATGGATTAAAGTGCAGCACTGCATGCTACCCGCAGCCGCTTCAGTACGAGTTCGATCCCCAGCCCTGGAGGTGATACACATGGCCTGGCAGACCTCTCCTGTCTCTCGCCTGCTGCTCCCCTCAGCAGTGGTCATCAATCTGCCTGTTCTGCTCCCTGCTCTGTCTCTAGTGAATCCTCTCACCACCCCTGCAACTTTGGCCTGTACCTCAGTTCCAGATGCATAAATAAATCTTAAGAAAAAGAAAAGAAACACTGTTTCCGCTAACCCAACATACAGAGAGAAAAACTTTCTCGAAAACAGCCATAAATATAACATATATCCTCTTAAAGTTTGAAATGTTAGGGCTTCATGCCAAAGCCTTTTAATTGGCCAGTGAATATACTATCAGTGTTAAATACATTTTCATCATAACTAATCATTATATTTTCTCCAAAAATCTCTCAATACAACAGAATTTTTTTTATTTATTCCTATTTTTTTTTTTAAATTTTGGTGTTATTCCTTAAATCTCTTATAATCTATTTTAAGGGCACTATCTATGTGTGAGTAATATACCTACAGAATTTCCCAAATTTGCTGTTAGCTAAAAACTTCTCTGTTATGAAACAATATTTTTTATTATAAAGTAGTTGTAGCTATCATGAATGATAAGAAGTTTCATTTACACAAGTGATAGTTTATTATAAAGTATGGACAATCTGCTCTTGCAACAATGACAGTATATAAAGGCAGCAAAATTGATATTTCAGTAATTGAATAGAAATTTTTTAATACACAAAGGAGGCATTATCTCAGAATTATATTCATAATTATAGTAAACAAGAATCCTATTCTTAATTATAATTTTTATGCTACCATCGTGGACATGAAGGCCATTTTTTAAGAGATTTATTTATTTATGCACACAGAACTGGGGTATAGGTCAGAGGCACAGGAGTGGTGAGAGGCTTCACCAGAGACAGAGTGGGGAGCAGAACAGGCAGATCGACAAAGAACACTGCTGAGGGGAGCAGCGGGAGGGTCAGCAGAGGTCTGCCACGCCAGTGGCTCACCTCCCTGGCTGGGAATGGAACTAGTAGTGAAGTTGCCGTGGAGAACTTCAAGGTGCTATGCTTTCACCTGTTGTGCCCACAGGGAGGGCCCATTAAGGCCATTTAAATTCATTTAAATTCCTGGTGTTAGTCATTTCATTGTTAAAAATTCTTAAATAAACAATACATATATTTCAGATATTTCAAGTTAAATGTCACTGATTCAAAGGCTTTTACTTTAATAGATTTTAATTTCTATTTTCAAATATTTTCATTGTGGTAACCTTGGTTCAGGGAGTACAGAGGCAGATAGGCTATGGGCACAGGTGATTAGGGGTTGCAAATAAAAAACAATAACAAAGGATATCTTACATTATTGGAACATTGGCTCCTCCTTAAAAAAAATGAAAAAAGTAACATTTGTTCAGAATACTAGATAGTACGATTCAAAAATATAGGTCTTCACCTTTTCATGTATATGTTACCACCCCACGCCAAGGCAGTAATTTGTATTTTAAATAAATATACACATACACACATGCCAAACTGAGTAAAAGAAAATGGTATAACCTAATATACTGCATAGTCAAAAATATTAAAATTGTAATGGGTGTATAAATGGTAATAAATTCCAAGGTGTTTTTTTTGTTTTCAGTAAAATATAGACAATGCAGGTGTAGTACTCCAGTAGCATAGTACATACAAAAAATACATGGGGAGAGTATTATTTTGTATATTTAATAAGTTATACTTTCTGTATTTTAACTTTTCATTATTTTATTTTATTTTAATGAATTACCATTGTTTTAAAACTTTACTAATATTTTGACAGTTTAGGGTCGCTCCCCTAAATATGGTCACTGAGCTTTCCCTCCGCCACAGTACCTGTAGTCCACCACCATAGTCCATTATGCTCTATCCCCACCCCTTTATAACCCCTCACAATCACTCTCTCCTCCTGGGAGATCTAAGGTAAGCTTTCTAGGGTTGGTTTTAAAGTTTGATGACTGTTTGGTTTCTCTAAATTCTGATATAAGTGACGCCATCTGGTATTTATCTTCGTCCTTCTGTATTATTTCACTTAGCAAATTCCCTTCCAAATACATCCATGTTGCTGCAAAGGGTGTGAGATGATCTTTCTTGATTGCTGAGTAGTATTCCATTGTGTATATATTCCACACGTTCTTGATCCACTCACATGTTTTGTCACTTAACATTGTTTCTGTATCTTAGCTATTATAAATAGTGTTTCAATAAACAGGAGTACAGGTTTCCTACAAGTTAGTGTTTCTATATTCCTTGGGTTACACCTAGGAGTGGAGATGCTAAGTTGTGTGGCAGGGTCATTTCTAATCTTTTGAGGAGCATCCACAATGTTTTCCACATGTTCTGGGCCGGTCTCTACCCACCAACAGTGTAAGAGGGTTCACACCGTTGACAGCACTAGTTGTTTCTGATCTTTTTAAGGTGGGTCTTTCTCACTGGTTATGAGTTCGTGTCTAGTGGTTTTGATTTGCATTAACCTGATATTAAGTGATGATGATTTTTTTTTATGTGAAGGCCTTTATTTCTTACCCATATTTGATGAGAACTTTGCGGGATAGATTCTTGGCTGGCAGTTACTATCTTGGAGTATGTTAAATATGTCACTCCATTCTATTCTTGCCAGACTTCTTTGGAAGCTTGATAGGTGTCTGATTGCTGTTCCTTTATTGACTATCTAGTTCTTTCCTCTTGTCAGCTGCAGGTCTCATTTTACTTAGGTTTGGTTGTTGTTGTTTTAGCTTCTTCCTGTATTTGTATGTTTAGTTCTTTTTTCAAGTTTGGGAAGTTTTCAGCTACTGTTTCCTTAAATATGTTCTAATTTCCTTTCTTTCTGTCTTCTTATGGAGTTCCTATGATTCCTTTTCTTTGGAGTCTGATCTGTTTCTTTTTCTAAGGTCTTCCCCTATTTGAATATTTGAATTCACTGATTTAATCCTCCATTTGGTCTATTCTACTTCCATGGTTTTCTTTTGAATTTTTCATCTCTTCTACTGACCTTTTTGTATTCTCCAATTCCATTACTGTTTGGGTTATCAGATTCATTTTTCTGCTCATGGATTATGTTCCCTGTATTATTTTCTGAATTTTCTTGTATGTTTCTGATCTGTGCTTTCTCTGTATTGTTTGATTTTCTTGAATACTTTTATCATGGCAATTTTGAATTCTGCATTTGATAGAAAGAAAAGCTTACCCATGTCTGTGTGGTGTATTGTTCCCCTAGGACTCATGTTGTCATTGTCTTTTTCTTTCTCCTTACTGTTTTGTTTTGTGGTCTGCATTGCTATTGTTGGGGCTTCTTCTTGACATGGGTCCCCACACACACTATTTTGGATGTTTGTTTTGGTGGTTTCAGCTGCTGAGTCCTCCTGAGTTCTGGATTTGGTGAGTGTGGTGCAGAGTGCACATGGACGCTGAGGGTTTTACGTCTCTGTGACTGTCCCCCAGTGATACTCCAGGCTCTGGCTTAGGCACACAGGGTGGGTTGGATGTGGCATGGGCACTCTCTGTAGATGGAAAGACTCTTTGCCCATTAGGTGTGTGTAAATCACATATATTAAATAAACTAAATCTGTTTTTTTTCCATTCAGATACAGGATAAAATATTAACCTTATAATATTTCATGGGTCAGCGAAACATCTGGGTTACTTGCTTTAATTTAAGCTGCAATCACTGATTCTCCTGTTAAATTATAGACATATAAGTATAAGGTGAATTATGTCAATTAAAATTTTTATGCAAATTATTTTTAATATTTTTCACTGTCTTTACAACAGGTACCATTACAATTGAAAAATATGACCTCAGGACCAACAGCTGGAGACATATTGGTACCATGAGTGGCCGTAGGCTTCAGTTTGGAGTTGCAGTTATTGATAATAAGCTCTATGTTGTGGGAGGAAGAGATGGTTTAAAAACTTTGAATACTGTAGAATGTTTTAATCCAATTGGCAAAATCTGGTCTGTGATGCCCCCCATGTCAACACATAGGCATGGGTTAGGTAAGAACATAATGGTATATCGTTTCTAATTAACATATAAGTAATACAACATTTAAAAAGTTATATTTACCTATACCTGTGGGTATTTAGCCTAACCCTTGGTAAAATGTCTCCAGAATATTGAAAGTATGAAGCAAATTGTGAAAGCCTACAAAACCTTTTTTATATATATATATGTCATACCTATTAATGTTTCCCTTCCATCAGTATTTTTAAAAAATCGAGATTTACTTATTTTAAAGGGTATAACTTCAGGAAGGATAAAATAGTTTTTCTTATTCTTTTGTTTTTATTTCTTTTTTACTTGTTTTAATAGATGTAATACTGGTTTTAACATTGTTTATGATTCAGAGACATAGCATCACACATCTTCAGATGTATTCAATTAACATTACCCTCTCTATTTTCATACATTCTGTTATAGTGGCAGTGCATACATTTTTATAGCTAAGTGGTATTTAATTGTGTGGATGGGTGTGTAATTATATGTTAAGTTTTTTTAACCACTCATCTGTCTTAGGGCATTTATCTTGTTTTCAGAGTTTAGTTATTTCAGTTAAGGACATTGAATAGAGGAATACATATATTCCTTTGAATTAGTGGTTTTGTATTCTTCCAGTATATACCTAGGAGTAGAATTGCTGGGTCTCATGATAGATGCATATCTTAATATTTTGTGAAACATCCATAATTTTTTCCATAGTGGCTAGACCAGTCTGCATTCCCATCAAAAGTGGATGAGCTTTCATTTTTGCCACAACCTTGCCAACACTTTTTATTTTAATGACTTTTGGATAAATGAAGAAATCAAAGAAGAAATTAAAAAATAACTGGAGATGAACAAAAATAAGACACAAGCTATCAGAATCCATGGGACACAGCAAAAGAAGTCGTGCGAGGAAAGTATATAGCAGTCCATCAAGTAACAAGAAATAACTCAAATAAACAATCTTGATCCTCACATTATTCAAGATATTGAAAAGGAAGAAAGAATGATATAAAAAGCATGTAGGAGAAAGAGAATAATAAAAATTAGAGCATAAATAAATGAAATAGAAATACTGTCCCAATGATCAATGAAAAAAAATGTGTTCTTTTAAAACAGTATCAGCTAGACTCATTAAGAAAAAAATCTTGACAAGAAAAAGAGTTGTGATAGCACATTTCCATCCTTCAAACTATACTACAAAGCTGTAGTATTTAATACAGCATATTACTAGAACAAAAAGGGACACACAGACCAATGTGGAGCCCTAAAATAGAACTGGGAGCCCTAAAATAAACATAACCATGGACAATTTATCTATGAGCCAAGATTGTACAGTAGAGAAAGTATAATCTCTTTAGCAAATAGTGTTGGGGGAACTGAATAACCACAAGAAGAAGAATGAAACAGGACCACGTATGTCACACAAAATTAACTCAAAATAGATTAAAGACATAGATGTAAGATTGGAAACTATAAACACATGAAAGAAAAAAACAGATAAAACACTCTATGGCATAATGTCTTTGAGGACTGTTCTCCAGAGGAAAGAGAAACAGGCAAATGTAAACAAATAGATTTACTTCAAACTAAAAAGTCTTTTGTACCACAAAAGAAAATACCAATAAAACAAAAAGACAACATACCGAGTACAAGAAAGTATTTGCACAGAACATAACTGTCACAAGGCTGATTCGTGCATCTCACCAAAATGAAAAGAAGTAACTTAATAAAAAAAAAAAAGAAGAAGAACAAATAGACACCTCAGCAAAGAAGACAATCCATAGTCAATACACACATGAAAATGTGCATTATGACATGTCATCACCAGGGAAATGCAAATCGAAACCCACACACACTTTTGATAGGAATATACACTGGTCAGTCCCTATGGAGCTTTCTCCAATTATTGAAAATAAATCTACAAATCCAACAATTACACATCTAGGTATCTACACAAAGAATGCACACGCACCAATGAGAAGGGGAATGTGCACTCTTATGTTCTTTAGTTCACACAGCACTATTTACACTAATCAAGATATGGGAACCATATCTCATCCAATAACAGAGCAACAGATTAAGATGTTGGATATATGCACAGTGCAATACTATTCAGTTTTTTAAAACTATGCAAAATCTTGCCATTTCCAACAACATGTATGGAATTGGAGGAGATTATGCTAAACAAACTAAATCAGAAAGTTAAAGACAAATAGAATGTGTGGGACAATTTGGGTGCTTTGGTGGGGGCATTATCTGGTATCACATATCTGAAGAAGTGTAAATCTCTCCATCTGAATCATATGCAGTGCCATAAATCAGCTAATATATATAAACTATAAAAATTACTGAGTGGAGACTTCTAGAACAGTAGGGAATTTTGGTTCTTCTGAATATGTGAGAGAATCCAGTTTTCTTTAAGTTAGATTCCATTGTTTTTCTGTGTCAGTTTGTTCTTAAAAAAAGTTAATTACCTTGTTTTTTTTTAAGAAATGACTATTACATATCTGAAAAATATCAGAACTGATAAATTGCCTATGTCAAGTGATAGCTGTAACTATTCAGATCAGTTGCATCAGTGTGACCCCAGATATAACTTGGAAAACTGCTTTACAGAGAAATCATAGCAAGTTTTAAAAATCTTTTTGATATTACCAAAGAGAAGTGATACCATAGAGAGCTTGACTGAGATGGTAAATAGGGTGGGAGCGAAAAGGGCAATAATGTGAGTATGTGGCAAAATAAGAAACAATTCCAAAGGGGTTATTTATAGTATTTACTAGAACAAACTTCTAATAAACCATAAAACCTTTAATTAATTTTCTCACAGGAATCTTTATCCTTATGATAAAAACAGGATTAGAGAGACCTACCAGAGTTAGCCTATAATTTAAGAATTATATAAGATTAATTATCATGGCTCTCCCTTATGGCGCAACAGGTTAAAGCACCACACTATGAAGCTCTCTGGAACCACCATAGCACGAGTTTGATCCCCAGCCAGGGAGCTGACCCACATGGCGTGGCAGACCTCTCCTGACCTGCCCGCTGCTCCTCTTACCAGTGCATTTCAGTAGATCTGCCTGTTCTGTTCCCCACCTTGTCTCTGGTGAATCCTCTCACCCACCACACCTCTGACCTGTACCCCAGTTCTGTGAGCATACATAAATAAATCTTAAAAAAAATTAAGTATCCTATCTCATCTACATCTTTCAAAAATTGCATTGTAGCTATGCCAGAAAAAAAAACAATCAGAAGCCTACTTTCTACTACATTCTTAGAAATGGTATATTCCAACATCTTTTTGACTCCACTATTACAATGATAACACCCTTCCATGGTATAGTAAGTATGCCTTAAAATTTCTTAGGGTTTAAGGAATATATTTAATTTAATATCAGGATCAGTAAATTATTTGCATGTACACAAAACCATTCAAGAAACAAGAACTAATTATAAGTAGTAAGTTGTTTTGCATACATAATGCATCAGAATCCATCATGTGCAGTCATACTATGTTGATACTTTAGGTGTAGCCACTCTTGAAGGACCAATGTATGCTGTTGGTGGTCATGATGGATGGAGTTATCTGAACACTGTAGAAAGATGGGACCCCGAGGGACGCCAGTGGAACTATGTGGCCAGCATGTCAACTCCTAGGAGCACAGTTGGTGTTGTTGCATTAAACAACAAGTAAGTCAACCAGAACAGCATGTTTTTGCTCCCAGTCATGTGACACAGCACTTCAGTGAGCATTCCCAATGAATGGGACATCATAGTTATCAAAAATAAAGGGGCATTGTTGAATCCTCTTCATTATGATGGAAAATATTTGTCTAAAGTGAACATTTAACTAAATATTCTGTAGTTCCTTGCTAATTAAAGTGTAATTCAGGGACTAGCAGAATCAGTATTATCTGAAATCTGTTTAGAAATCCTGAATCTGGCCTTCCTTGGTGGCACAACAGCTGAAAGCACAGCACTGCAAGCGAGCTGCAGTTGCTTCAGCGGAAGATCGATCCCCGCCCCAAAGGTGATCCACAAGGCGCGGCAGACCTCTCCTGACCCACCTGCTACTCCCCTCAGCAGTGTAACTCATCTATCTGCTTGTTCTCCTCCCCATTCTGTCTCTGGTGAATCCTCTTACCTCCCCTGCACCTTTCACCTGTACCCCAGTTCTGTATGCATAATAAATAAATCTTCAAAAAAAGAAATACTGGGCCCTCCCTGGTGGTGCAGCGGGTTAAAGCACAGCACTGAGAAGCTAAAGCCACTTCAGCATGAGTTCTATCCTCGCCTGCCCTGGAGGTGACCCACGTGGCGAGGCAGACCTCCCCTGACCCGCCCGCTGCTCCCCTCAGCAGTGTACTTCGTCAGTCGGCCTGTTCTGCTCCCCAATCTGTCTCTGGTGAATCCTCTCACCCCCCGCACCTCTGGCCTGTGCCCCAGTTCTGTATGCATAAATAAACAAATAAAAAAAAAAAAAGGAAATACTGAATCTTAGCCCTACTCTAGATGTCCTGAATCAGAATCAGCATTTTAATGCGATCCTCAAATGACGTGCATGCATGTTAAACTTAAAAAGCATTTTTAAATGCAAACCAATTCCAATTTTACCCTCAAAATTGACCACTTTTGACATTATGACTTGTTATTTATCAGAATTTCAATCTGTAGTCTTTTTGCTCTTTACACTCCCTCTCATGAGTATTCAGGATTCCCACCTCTAGTAACACATCTAACCCCAACTTTCTGAGTATTTCTCTCCTCCTGATCATTTACCTCTGATAAAAAATATTTTAAAACTCAATAATATTAGTGGTTGCTAAGATTTGAATTGTTATTCTTCCAGGTAGTTAAGTGCTTACTGACAAGAAACCTTTGGAGACAATGTCCCGCATATAGGAGGGACTTGAATGATTAGAATTTCAGACACCAGGATGGGTCAATGGCTATATATAACCTCTATGTCTGTACTGACTATGGATGAAATCCTTAACTCATCATATAAAATGGGCGCAGAAGACATTTCAACAAAGATTTTTTTTTCTTTTAGCACCTTGTGCAAGAAGAAATAGGAAATAGTCAAGAAGAAATACAGCCTTATAGTCACTCAGAGCTCAGGATACTCCTAAACAGGATCATCTCTGGCCTGACCTGAGTAATATCAATCTCCTGACCATAGGAGTGATTATCATACAGTGCCATAATCTCCTTCCTCTTACATAGCAAGCTACAGTCATTGAAGATGAATCAGTACATTTCACTGATTTGCTGTTGTTCACAGATGAATGGGATGAGAAGATATAGATATGTTTTAGCAAATTTTTATTTTCATATGATGCATGATTTAGTGTAAATTAGATTGGTATTTTAAAGATTGTGAGATTCAATATAGCTTCTTCTAGAAAACAATATGTTTTTTTAAAAAAATATATATTTATTTATGCATACAGAACTGGGGTGCAGGCCAGAAGTGCAGGGGAGGTGAGAGGACTCACCAGAGACAGAGTGGGGAGCAGAACAGGCCAACTGACGAAGTATACTGCTGAGGGGAGCAGCGGGCTGGTCTGGAGAGGTCTGACACGCCATATGGGTTGGGGCTCTAACTCATGTTGAAGTGGCTTTAGCTTCTTAGTGCTGTACTTTAACCCGCTGTGCCACCAGGGAGGGCTCAGAAAACAATATGGTTTCTAAGTTCTTAGTGACAAATGCTTTTTATGTTAAATAAAGTAGTTCATATAAACAAGTTGAACCTAGGCATAATTGTAAGATAACTGGAGTTGGTCTATGGAAACATTCTGGCCAATTTTTTAAATCTAAGTTTATTGAGGTATAATTATTGAAGTATAATTGAGAAATACCACTAGCCCGCAGCTTCATCCTATCTCTGCACGTCATTTCACATGGGATCTTTTTGTTAAATAATATAATAGCTTATTTTCACAGCATTTTGTGACTTTTTCCATCTCATTTGTAATCCCCATGGGTTTCCCATCACCAAATCACCCATGTGCCATCACCATTGTCCCGTGCACTCCCCCCTCCATATTTGATCCCATTCCCCACTCCACCCCCGTAAAATGTCGCTGGTATATAGTTGCTCATTATTATTATTGTTTTCTCCCCTGGTCCTTTATACTCCTGCTATGAATGAAACCATCTGGTATTTTTACTTTTCTTTCTGGCTTATTTCACTAAGCATCACATGGAATATTTTACTCAATAATATTATGTCAAAGTACTTTTCATAAAATCAATGCAGCCAAGTGATGTGGTATAGGGTGAACTTTAACAGGGGCCCTTAAGTAATTCTATTCACAAACTCAGGTCATCAGCTTCAGAAGAGTGAGGAAACTAAATATACAGTCAGTAATTTGAAATGCTTTGTACAAGGTTCTCCAACTTTTATTCTGTGCACTAACTGGAATTTATTTATTTATACATATATGTGTGTATGCATAAATTTATTTATTTATACACACATACCATATCTGTTTTTTTTTTTCTAGACTGTATGCTATTGGTGGACGTGATGGAAGTTCCTGCCTCAAATCAATGGAATACTTTGACCCTCACACTAACAAGTGGAGTCTGTGTGCTCCAATGTCCAAAAGGCGTGGAGGTGTGGGTGTTGCAACATACAATGGATTCTTATATGTTGTTGGGGGTCATGATGCACCTGCTTCTAATCATTGCTCCAGGCTGTCTGACTGTGTGGAACGGTAATACATTTCCATGTGTGTATATGTATACGTGTACATAAGCACGCACACACACACATATGAGGGGGGTTTTTAGACAACCAGGAAGTAGTCTTGCAAATAAATGCTAATCCTTTCAGAGGGTTAATTTTTGTAGACTTTATACTTACTCCTAGGTGTAAAATATGAATATATCTCCCTTTGTCATTTCAGATCTATCATAAGAAACATCAAGAATATGTTTTAGTCTTTCTTCATAAGTGGGACTAAATATGTTTTTCAAATTAGTCCAGTACTTGGTAGCTTTAGACAATAATAATTTAGTATTTTTCATGGGTTCTTGGCCTCAAAATTTCAGAGCACAGTTTCTCCTTTACCATACCTGAAGTCTCAGCTGGATGAAGCAAAGGATTGATGGGGAGATTAGAAGGCTCATTTCCTCACAAGACTGGCTGTTGATGCTAATTCTAGGCTGGATATGGAGCCAAGTTCAAATTTAATCTTGGATTAGAAACTTTGTGATGTGATTATAGAAGTAAAAACAGAAATAAGGGGGATAATGGAGATATTTTTAAATTAGTAGGTGATAAATGAACATTTCTTTTGTAAAATGAATGCTTCCTATTTAGATTTTATAAGTGGGCCACTAAAGATAATCAGAGACCATTTCTTCATAAAATTATGAGTTTTTCTATCTTTTCACCCACTTTGCATTTTTCATTATGTGTGTTTTTAATATTTTCAAAATTCTGAAAGTATTTTTATTAATATTACTGATTTCCTCCTCATTTTGCTAAAAACCAAAATGGAGATAAGGAGTTACTTTCATATTAAAACGGAAAAATTCCTAGGATACTCAGATAATAAGGAATTCTCTTGGGGGGGAGGGAAGATAGGATAAGACTATGGCAATTCAAGTACAAATAGTATTAAAGCCATAGTACTTCATCCTATAAAATTAAAGGAAGTTGTATTTGAGTTTCTTAAAATATCAACTCTCACAGTGTATGTTTGATAAGCAGTAGACTGAACTAGAGAGGGGGAATTTTTCACATAATTTTAGAATGCTAACATGATTTCTCACAGAGAATCTGAATAATGAAAAAAATGTATGGTATTTTGCAAAGAAAATGCTTTGAGTGACATCTGGTGTGTCAAGAGAATTTTCTATGTACGTATTTTTAAGATTTATTACATTACACTTGATATTTATAATGTCTTTAATTGTTTTTACTAGATAAGTACATATTTTATTAATGCCTATTATTTTAAGATGTATTTATGCATACAAGAACTGGGGTACAGGCCAGATGTGCAGGGGAGTAAGAGGATTCACCAGAGACAGAGTGGGGAGCAGAACAGTCAAATCTAGGAACTACACTGCTGAGGGGAGCAGCCAGCAGGACAGAAGAGGTCTGCTTCGACATGTGGGTCACCAATCTGGCCAGCGATCGAACTTACGCTTCAGTGGCTGTGGGCAGCTTCACAGTCTGCTTTAACCCCTTGTGCCACCGAGGAGAGCCATTGCTTATTATTTTGAATTTCAACACTATTTGCTTCCCTTTTCATTTGTTTTGTAAACTTCAAGGTATGATCCAAAAACTGATTCATGGTCAACTGTGGCACCTCTGAATGTTCCTCGTGATGCTGTTGCAGTGTGTCCCCTCGGAGAGAAGCTCTATGTGGTTGGAGGCTATGATGGGCATACTTACCTGAATACTGTTGAGTCATACGATGCGCAGAAGAATGAATGGAAAGAGGTACTCAAATTGCTGTATTTCAGGTTACTGTAAAAAGATTTCAGATATATGTTTGCAGTTCCATTCTTTCTCTCTAGGGTTCAATCAGATTATTTTAGTGAAATTTGTAGATGTGCTTCACCTACCCTGTATCAGTAAAGTTGGTCATTAGCAAGATCATCAGTAATTATATGAAAGGGGGTGGAATATTCTCTTGACTTCATTTGCTCATTCTCTTCACAGAAAAGTAAATCAAATTCAGTAACACAATAGCTTTATCTCAGTTCAACTTTCTTTGTATGTATGTACGATGGCTTAAGAACATAAGATAATGTCTCAGATTTTAAATGTCTGCCACTCTTTATTGACTGGTGCACAGAAGAAGCTTTTCAATTACTTCATATAGATTGTATAAACTGGAACATTGAACATTCTAAATTATAGCCATTCGAGGAATTTAGAATATAGTAGAAGACTGGAATTAAAGGACATCAAGAGTGCAGAGCATCTAGTGGAGGAAATTCCAAGCTAAGTTCAGGAAGGGGCAATGAGAGCATATCTTGGGGTGCTGAAGGCAAACTTAGTGCTTAGGACATATTTTCCAGGGATAGGTCCTGATTTATTACAAAATATTTAATGGTGTTTTGATGAAATAATAGGTTTAAAAAATTGAAGAGCAATTAAATGCAGCATTTCCACAGAGTGGAATCTTGTATTTGGTACATTCTACTGCCATCTGTATCCATCTGTATACTATAGTCTATATAGTACAACTGGTTACTCCCATGATTATATATCTACATTAAGATGATGAAAGATGAAAACTGGTTTCTGTATTTTTCTCCAGTAATTTGACTCATGAACTCCCTCAGAAACATTCTAATTCTGCAATGTAGGAAGTTCCTGACTTTGGCAGTGCTTGGGGCCAGCTGGAAATTGAAGAAAGGAATTTAGCAAATGACGAATGTGGTCAAATACAATCATCAAAAATTATGTCTAAGTTTGTGGAATGTACTTTTATGAAAATTGTAGAAAAGTAACCATGAGACAGAGATTCTATACTTGACATTTCACTGTTTCATTGTGTGACCTTGGAATGAGTGAAAGAGAACAAATAATGGTATTAAAACTACTATATTACAGATTATTTTAACTAATTAGCTCACCAAATCCTCACAAAACTTGGAAGAGTATTATTAAATTTCTAAAGTGAGAAACTTAATTAGAAAATTGAAACTTATACAAAATCACCTACTCCTCAAACTTAATTCTATATAATTTTATTAATTAATGATTCAAATATTTTACTTTATATTTTCTGCTTTTATTTTTTATTGAAGTAACATTAGTGTGCGATACTGTGTATGATTTAGAGGTCGAGGGCCACACCTTTCAAGTATATGTTACCACAACACCCCCACCACCAAGTTCTTTGTACAAAGGACACCCTCCACACTTTGTTCTCCCCTCTGCCTCTTCCCCGTAGGGTTACATAAATTCTACAGCCAGATTGCAAGAATTTGTGTTTTTGTATTCTCCAGATACATACCTAAGAGTGGAATTGCTGGATCATATAATAGATCTGTTTTTAATTTCCATACTATTTTCCACATGGGCTGAACCAGTCCGGGTCTGGAACATCCACAGTGGAGGAGGGTTTCATTTTCTCCAGAAACTTGACAGCACTTGTTTCTGGTATTCTTGATATGGGAAATTCTCATTGTGAGAATTTTCTCATTGTGCTTCTAATTTCCATATCCATGACAGTAAGTGATGAGGATTTTTCATTTGCCTGTTGGCCATCTGTCTGGCTTCATTGGAGATGTGCTTAAATAGCTCTTCTGTTGATTTTCTGAATATTTTGTTTACTTTTTATTGACTTGCAAAAGATCTTTGTGGACCTTGTGTATCAGACCCTTGTCAGATGTTCCATGTGCAAATAAGTTCTCCCACTCGGTTGATATCTCCTTGTTTTAGTTACAGTTTCTGTTCCTGTACAGAAGCTTTTTAGTTTAATGTAGTCTCAATGGTTTATCCTCTGTGTAGCAGCAGGAAGGCTCCGTGCAGATTTTCTATAGGTAAGGGAGACAGGTGAAGGAGGCATGAGGGTTGGGGGACGCAGAGCCTGGCAGGCTTCCTATCTCCCAGCGAGTATTTAGTCTTTCTGTGCTCTCTGACATTCGCTCATGGTTTCTGTGGACTCTACTGCACTCCACCGCCTCATCCCCTGTAGCTACACTTCTCTACTCCTCTAGGACTCTGCCTTTTGTATGCTCTGTCTGTGGCTCAGGTGCGCCCATGCACTCACAACCACACCACACTCCACTCCAGGTACTGCCATCAGGCACTGGCATGTAAGGCCACAGGTGTCCATCATTGGTGCTAATGGCAGGAAGGTGAAAAAAACCTAACCTCCATTTACCCTACACTCTGCTTTGTGCTCCAGTTGCTGGAATTAATCCATAAAGGTATCTCTGAATGTTGTAGAATGTTCTACAATGCGCTACATATTGTACTGTTTTGCTTATGTTTTCTTTTATGTATTTTATGGTTTCAGTCTTTTTTTCTATTTCTTTGAAAAGTGTCACTGAACTTTGGTAGGGATTACATGAATACGTATATTACTTTGGCTAAGGTGACCATTTTGGCAATGTTTATTTTTCCAAATAGCAGGGAAATATTTCAGTTTATTTGTGTATCATTCTATATATTTAAACATTTATAGATTTCTTGTATAGGTCCTTCAGCGCCTTTTTCAAGTTTATTCCTGGGTATTTGATTAATGTTTTGTTTTGCTTCTTAATTTCTTCCTATTCTAGATTATTGTGTTAAAGTAGTGGTCGTATTTTTTTTTGTATTGAGTTTGTAGCCTGCCACTTTGATGAGCTGATTTGTAGTTTCAATTACTTTTTAGTGGTCTTTAGGTTTCTTTATATATATTACCATTTCATCTACAAAAAAAAGATGGCCTTCCCTCTTCTCCCACATTTGGATTCACTTGATAGCTTTCTCTCGCCTCTTACTAACTAGGACTTCCAATATTATCTTGAATAGTAGTGGCTAAAGAGAACATCCTTGTCTTCTAACAGATGTTAGTGGAAAAATGTTTCAGGTTTTCACCACTGAGAATGATGTTAGTTAGTCATATATGTTCTTTATTATGTTGAGGTATATTCCACTAATCTTCAGTTTATCGAGTGTTTTTATTATAAATGTATGGTGAATCTTGTCAGTTGGTCTCTCTGAATCTGTTAGTATGATCATTTTTTTTATCTTTCCTTCTGCTGTCATGGTGAATTATATTTATTGATTTCTGGATGTTAAATTATCCTTGTGCCCCTGATATACATACCACTGAGTCATATGTATGACCCATGCAATGCATTGCCAACTTTGATTTGCAGTACATTTTTTTGAAGATTTTTTTTTATTGATGCTCACTAGGGAACTTGGTCTGTAGTTTTCTGTTTTGGTGGTATCTTTGTCTGGTTTTGGTATCAGGGTGATTTTAGCCTTATAAAATGTGTTCCTAGTCCCTCTTTCTCATTTTTTTTTTTTTTGAAGGAGTTGAACAGGATAGGTATTAGCTCACCTTTAAATGTTTGGTAGAAATCAAATGTGAAGTTACCAGTTCCTGGACTTTTGTTTTTTGTGAGAATTTTGATTACTGTTTCTGTTTCCTGCTTGTAACTGTTCTGTTTGAGTTTCAGATTTGCTATATCTTCCCTATTTAGTCTCAGATGATTGCATATTTCTAAGAATGTCCATTTTTTCTACATTATTGATCTTACTAGTATACAGATGTTCAATGAAATTGCTTATAAACCTGAGATGATTGTTATTGTAACTTCTCCACTTTCAATCTGATCCTATTTATATGAGTTTTCTTTCCTATTTTCTGCCTGAGTCTAGCTAAAAATTTGTTTTGCATATTTTTTCAAGGAACTAGCTTTTAGATGCTATTTTTTTATTTATTTCTGCTTTTTTTTATTATTTACTTCCTTATACTGGCTTTGGTATTATTTGTTCTTTTCTTGTTTCTTAAGTTGGGAGATAAAGATAATTTACTTGAGATCCTTCTTGTTTCTGGATGTGGACCTGCATTGCTATATACTTTCCTTTCACTACTGTTTTAGCTGTATCCCCTAAGTTCTGGAAAGTTGTGTTCTCATTGTCAGTTATCTGGAGGTATATTTTGATTTCTTCATTAATCCAGTCGTCTTTCACAACTGTGCTACTCAGTCACCAAAAAAATTAAGAGCTTTTTTGTGCTTTTTCTCTGTGGCTGATTTCTATTTTTTTACCTTTATAATAAAAAGAGGCATATTATGATTTCAATCTTCATATTTTATGAATAATAAATTTTAATTTAAAATTTATATTTTATTATTCCTTTTTTCCCTTTTTCTCTCTCTTCCTAGTCTAGGAACCTCATTATTCTTATATTGTCCTACATCAGAGTCCAGTAATTCTTGCAGTGTTATTCACTTTTTCTGCTGTAACCTCTTTTACCTTAGTTATCATCCCCAAGATAACTGAGACGATCTTCCATTTGATCTCTTCTGCTTCCATAACTTTCTCCAGAATTTTTAAATTCCTTTATTGATCTTTTTATATCACACAACTCTGTTATTTCAAATTTAATTTTGACCTTCTTGATAAATAAAACTTAATTTTATTTATCAAAACATTTATTTGTTTTTCTGAGTTTTATTCAGTCTTTTTAATTTATTCATCATGGCAATTTTAATTTGTATATCTTATATGAAGAAAAAAATCTTCCTTGCTTTTGTGGTTGGCATCGGGAAATTGTTCCCACTGTATGGTGTAATTTCCCTGAGTGCTTAAATAGCACTGGATGGTTTACCTATTTTGTTGAGTCGTGTGAGTTGTTTGTAGATCTTTGTGATCAATCCCTTATCAGTTGTATGGAGTGCAAAAATTATCTTTCAATCAGTAGGGTGTCTCTTTGTTTTGGTTAATGTCTCTTTTGCTGAACAGAAGACTTTTAGTTTGATGTAATCCCAGATGTTTATCTTTCCTTCACTTTCTTTGCTTTGGGGGATGAGACTTTAAAGGTGTTACTGAGATATATGTCATGTAGTGTTTTATCTATATTATCTTCTAAATATTTTATGGTTTCAGGTCTTATGTTCAATTCTTTTACCCATTTTTGAGTTTTTTTTTTTAAGATTTATTTATTTATGTAGGTAGAACTGGGGTACAGCCTGAGGTGCAGGGGTAGCAAGAGGATTCACCAGAAACAGAGTGGGGAGCAGAACAGGTAGATCAAGAAAGTACACTGCTGAGGGGAGCAGTGGGTGAGATAGGAAAGATCTGCCCCGCCGTGTGGATCACCTTCGGTGCCGGGATTGAACTCACAAAGGCAGCCACAGCTTGGCTTAGCTTTGCAGTACAGTGCTGCAACCCACTGTGCCACCAGGGAGGGCCCCATTTTGAGTTGATTTTTGTGTATGGTGTGAGGTAGTGGTCTTGTTTCACTCTTCTATGTGGTAGCCCTAGTTCCTTTTTTAAGGTTTGGTAGAACTAATTTGTGAAGCCATCACTATTGGGTTTTTTTGTTTGTTTGTTTTTTGGCAGACTTTTGAGTACTGTTTTGATTCCCTACTTCTAATTTGTGGGTTCATATTTTCTACTTCTTACTGATTCATTCTCATTTTTGGATGGTTGTATTTGCTAAGAATTTGCTCAGGTTATTCAATTTAATAACATACAAATGTTTAGCGTAATCTATAATCTTTTGTATTTCTCACATTATTCTTGTAATTTTTCTTTCCTTTCTGATTCTGTTTGAGTTTCCTCCTTTTTTTTTGTAAGCATTAGTTTTGTTCTATTGTTTGTTTCTAAAGATACAAACTGTAACTTCATTATTCTTTTTCACTGTCTTTCACTTTCAGTTAGCTTTATTTTGGCTGTAATATCTATTATTTCCTCCTTTCTACTGGCTTTTATTTTGTTTGTTCATCTTTTTGTAGTTTAAAATGAGAGCTAAGATAATTTTAAAGACTATTTTCTTTCCAAAACACTGGGCTCATTTTGGCTGTAGTATCCCTTAGTTTTATACAAATTAAAGTTTATACCAGAATTGCTAATGATATTTTCAAATCTAACATTTTATGTTATGTTAAGGACACTTCATTCAAGTACCATTTTCCTCTTGTTTTTATCTTTTGTCTTAGGAAGTTCCTGTTAACATTGGAAGAGCTGGTGCATGTGTTGTAGTGGTGAAGTTACCTTAAAGCTATGTTTATCTAATGGAAGAAAACTGAGTAATTTCACGAAACCTAGTAAGAAGAGAGGAAGGAAGAAAATTCCTCTTCAATTAGTAATCAGCTGTGACAATACTTGTGCCATTTAAATATATTCTCATTTGTTAAACCACAACAAGTATTCAGACATGAACTAAAAGTAGGTGTTAAATGTATGTATCACTGCAGCTGTAATATAAATGGGAAACCAATAGTCTAGGGGTAGCCTTGTTATCATAAAATGTTTAAGTATTTGAGGAAAATTGATAATGACCAGTGCATGAAAAGCTATAAAGGTATTGGTATTGTTTAAGAGTAGAATTTGAGGCTAAAACATTTTTTATTTCCAAAAAAACCTCTTAAGTATAACAAGTAAAATTTGGTATATAAAGTCTGATTTTCTCTAAGACGTCATCATTTTCTTATTTGAACAGCAGCTCAAACAGCTAAATATGTCTCACATTCATCAGGAGGACAACTTTTATTATATTGAGCCTAAAACTAAATTGCTCCTTGATATAATATGTTATGCTGATCACAGTACGTTACATTTTTCACAGATTTATTGTTTCACAACACTTCTTCCATAGTACAAATACAGCTTGGGTATTCTTTAACAGGTTGTCTTATATTTGTTACCAGTAAAATATTATTGTAATTTCATATACATAATCTATACAATAAAATAGTATTTATCATATTGATACAAACTGTGACCTCAGCCTTAGAGTGTCAGGGCCTCACTTGTATAGAAATCAATATTCCCTCGAAGCATTTCTGTGAATTCTGTAACAATCTAACACAAAATGAAAGTTTCAAAAAACAATTTTTAGAGCACAGTGAAATTGTTAAAATGTTCTACAATATTAACACACAGATACTCTAAAATGTTCAATATCCATTGTTAATTATATACTTACATTTTATGTATCAATATTTGTTTTTATTTTAATATTCTTCTCATCCAGTAGAAAATAGTAAGAAAAAATACGCTATAAAATTTTTAAATTAAAAATGGAAAAATCTAGTTGAATATCATTTTACCTTTAATCTTCTGTTTACTCCATTATCAAAACATTTTAGATAAAATGTTGAAAAAAATCTAAAAGTAACTTTACAAATAAATATTCAATTTTAGAACTTCTGTAGTACGTTCTTTTAAACAGGCTTTTTATTGTATTGTGTGAGCCAACAAATATAATCCAGAGAGATGCTTATAAAATGTACTACTATCTTTTATGTTTAAAGACCAGCATAAATTGTACAAAGATGTGTGTACTTGGACAAATTGAACTAAATAAAATCTATTTTCTCTGGTTATAAAGAGTGTAGTTTTGAAATATGTCAAGTGCAAATTAAACTAAGTCTTTGGTATTATTGTCTAAATAGCTAAAATATTTAAATACAAACATAAAGTCTCCTACCATTGTTCGCTATCCATACCATTGTCTTTTATTCTAAGATTTTTATTTTTATTTCGTTATGCAAACAAGAACGTGGGTGTAGGCTACAGGTGCACGACAGTGAGAGGATTCACCATAGATAGAACAAGGAGCAGAACAGACAGATCTACTGAAATACACTGCTGAGGGGAGCAGCAGGGAAGACCAGAGAGGTCTTCTGTGCCATGTGGGTCAGCTACCTGGACGGGATCAAACTCATGCAGCAAGGGTTGGTATTAGCTTATAGCGTTGAGATTTTAGCCTCTTTGCCACCAGAGAGACCCCCTGGACCATTAAATTAGAGCATCAGTTAGTAGCACTGGGAAAGGTCAAAGGTCCTTTCACATCTTGGCTTATCAATATTTATAGATGGCACCAATAGAGAGACAGTATCCAGTGTCATCACTGGAAACCGTTTTCTCAATGGACCAAATAGACTTACTTCATTTTGATAAGGTATTGACTGGTAAGAAAAAGCAAGTTGCCCAAGATCACCACTGCACAGCTACACTTGAAAGTTGCAGTTGGACAGCTGTAGCCTAACCACTGCTAAAATCAGAGCCAATCTGAGGAGTCTGTATGGAAAACTGTAGAGGCCCACGGCATGAAATCATAGATGTGATTACCTCAGTCAACCCTTGTGAAAAGAAATTATAAGGGCAGTCCCGTTGTCACTATGGCAGAGTGGATTTGACTTATCAGGATTGGATTAAATGAACAAGAATAAAGAAGTAATTAATTTACATATTATTTCAACAAGTATAAAGGTGCACACATTTAGATGCTGTATCCAAATAGAAAAGAAAATGTTAGTTCTTGATTTTTTTGTAAACACTTATGATCTTGCCCAGGATCCCCATCTCTGAAACCTGTATCATTCTGACTAGCTGGACATCATCAGCTACATGCCCTGTATTTCCACAGGCACACCAGACCTTCTAAACACCTTCTCTACCACATAGTGGCTAAAGGAGAATCTATGGCACTAAACTCAGATCTTCTCTCTCCCTAACTATGTCCTTCATCAACATGACTCAGATATTGTTACTGCCCAATTTTGAAGTGGAGGGAACACTGAAAGGCAATCTCTGTCTAGATTCCCAAGTAGGGTATGGAACAAAAACTCTTGATTTCAAATTTACCTTTAAGCACTTTAACAAGACTCTGACCATGTAAGCCAGAAAATGGAAAAAGAACATAAAGCACATGCTTTCTCAAATATCATCGTCTTTTGTCCTCTTTTGTTTACCATAGTTATCTAAGGTAGAAGGGACAGTTTTCAGTTACTTTTTCTCTTTGCATGGGCTTCCTTTGTATCTCCCTTGCTGGAGATAGCAAGCCCCCACCTGAGTGATGGGAATAAGTATCTAATCTGGGATAGACACTATATGAACTTCTTATTTCACCTACCTTACACTGTATCTCAAAGGGAACCTTTAAAAAAGTTTATTTAAAGCTTTTTCTGTCCTTAACAAGATTAGTGTCTGCTTCAGACAGGTAAAAATCTTATTTTGGCCTCTAAACAAATAGTTAGTATTTGTTGCCTCGCAGGGCAGCAGCTTTGGGAGTGGCACGGGACGAGAGAAAATATACTGTAAGTCCAAAGCAGAGAGACCTAGAGGGGTCTGCACCCTAAAAAAGTGCGGGCCCAATCTATGAGCAATCTCATTTATTTGGAACCAGGTTCAGAGAAAATGGGCTAGTACTTGCATGCATAGAAGTGCATTATTGGGGACACATTATCATCTCGTGAAAGCTAGGGTGGGGGCCCTCCCTGGTGGCGCAGCGGGTTAAAGCACAGCACTGGGAAGCTAAAGCCACTTCTGCTTGAGTTCCATTCCCGCCTGCCCGGGAGGTGACCACATGGCGTGGCAGACCTGTCCTGGCCCGCCCGCTGCTCCCCTCAGCAGTGTACTTCATCGATCTGTATGTACAAATAAATAAATCTTTAAAAAAATAAAATAAATAAATAAATAAATAAATAAATTTGTGCATGCAGAACTGGGGTACAGGCCAGAGGCTCAGGGGCAGTGAGAAGCTTCACCAGAGACAGAGTGGGGAGCAGTTGGCCTATTGTTCAGGAGAGATGCTCTGAGTCCTCAGTGGCAGGAAGACACCATCTCAGATCCTTTTTTTAAGAATTTGAAGGCACTGGACACTGCTTTAGGTGAGATAAATGGTCGGTTTTGGTCTTAGTAACTCTATGTTACTAAGGCTTGTTAAATAAGTCCCATTGTTGTTCTCTGAACCAGAGTAGTTGGGTCAAGAACTCAGGCAATGTCTGATAAACAATTTGTGCAATGTCTTTGCCATTTTAGTTCCCCCTTTTGCCCTGTATCAGTTTGAATTATAATCCCCCTTCTTACACAACAGACACACACACCCCGCCCATGCAGACAGTGATGAAAATGAACACCTCTAGTAAAAAATGGGAACATGATATATGAGTAAATGTTTACAGATAAAACAATATTCTTTAAAAATAGAATTATTTTGTCACAAAGACTTACAGCTACTGTTTCTTTGGTTTTTGTGAGGGGTAAATTGGGACTAAATTAAGAAATCTCTACCAAATCCAGGTATATATAATTTAGGTTTTATTTGAAGGGATGGAGAATAAGAATTTGCAAAGTTCTCATTTCACTTACTATCATGGAAACCATCATTTAACAGCCCCATTCTACATGCTAACTTAAATTTATGAATGGTTAAATAATCCTATACAGATCATAACGAATAGGATCTTATCAGAGATGAGACTCATAGAGGGTCTCACTACCCAAGTTTTATTTAAATTAAATCAGAAATAAAACACAATCAGGAGATCTTTGAAGAGAATGACATCAAACAAAATGGTGACTAGAAATTTCTACTATTGACTCCTGCCCTCAGCACTCCCCCACCAAACAGCAATTTAACAACTGACAGCTGTCCTTGTATAACAATACCTTTGTAAGGGGCAGGATTTCACGTGAGATGTTATAAAACTTGAGTGAAACAGAAATGATTGAAAAGTAGGAAAGATAGATTCACATTACTTCATTTTCCTTCCAGTCTGAAGAGGCACATTCCTGTGGAAGGAGAACAAACTGTGTGACCAACTTCACCTCTGATACCTTGTTCTGCCACTACAAGGCTGACTCTTGCCGTTGTAGGTGGATCCTGCCCATACAGTGTTCTCATCTCTCCCTACCTCCACCAGCTCCAAAGAACACCCCTAGCACCAAATTCCCAATGAGTTTTTATGAACTCAGACACCAGCTTTTCTGCCAGCACCCACTGCTCCTCCAGCATCAGCAAGTAGCATATGCCCAGGGAGTTTCCTTTGTAATATTTCCTGTGGGTTTCTATGCACTGAGGCCCTTGGGGACCTCTGCACTTGCAGACTTCAGCAACCAAGGTGAATCCTGTAGAAACTTGCTCTGGGATGCAAGCTCCCATCTCATGTGAAGGCATCTGCTAACGCTGATGGTCACAAATGGTCTCCTTGATACAAAGTGGGCTCCCATGAACTTAGTCTCCCGCTCATTCCAGCATCCCAAGTGGTTT